GTGTGTCTGCAGGTTGTGCATTTTCACGGGCAAACAGAGCTGCTACCTCTGCACTCCACTCGCTAAGCAAAGAGCACTGACTGCCCTCCCCCTGCTTATGTGTGTGGTCACGTACTTGTTGTGCAAGCAGATGCTTGACGCTGTCGCGCTTCGGGCAGTTGCGGCAGAGGTGCTCGGTGCTGTCACAGATCCAGCACTTGAGGCGCTTGCCATTCTTGCCCTTGCCGGCCTTGCCGCCATTGCCCGGTGCGTCTTTCGACGCCTTCGTCTGCTTGCTCTTGAGGCTCACGCCGGTCTGCACCGTTGGCTGCGCCTTCGGCTGCCCGGTCGTGGCCTTCTTGCCCTTGTTCTTCTTCTTGGGGATCGGGACGAACGACACCTTCTGTGCCGCCGCCACCGCCCCGCCCGCCTCAGCCGCCGCACTGCTGGACCCGCTCTTGGAGCCCTGCTGCTGTGCAGCCGACCCTGTGAAGTCGGCCCACTGGCGGCACACCTTGAGGAGCGTCAAGCAGTTGGTCTTGGCGGTTGGATCGATGACCATCGCCTCTCGCACCCGACCAAACGACGCCGGCAGCTTGGGGATGAAGAACTCGACCATCTCTCGGTCGGCGATCGGGTCCACTCCTTGCAGTTGACGCAGCTCGTTCGCGCGCTGCACCACATGCATGAAGCTCGTCACCGCCTCCTCGAAGGTCCCCTTTGGGTCGGGCTGCCAGTTCACCACCCAGGCGAAGGCATCCCCCCAGGCGCCAGCATGCGTTGGCTGGAACGCCTCCATCAGCGCGTCCCAGGCCGCAGCACCGTTGCCCGCTGGCACTTGCTGGACGACAGCCAGTGCCCGCGGATTTGTCGGCTGCTTCCCATCGTTGATGCCCATCAGTGCATCGACCAACTCCGCGTGCAGATGAGCATTGTCTGCATCATACTGCCGCGTGCCGTGGGTGGCTCGCCCGGCCTCACGCTGGCCCTTGTCGAGCAGGTAGCCGATCTTGGCCTGCAGGCACTTGCTCTGCACCTCAAACGCGAACGTGGGGAAGCCATTCTGGTCGCCACTGAAGGTATGAAGCTTGAGCTTCTTACGCTCCAGCAACGCCTCCGATGCTTTCTTCGACACCACGCATGCGCCAGTCAGCTTGCCAGCCGTATGAGCCTGCTGCAGTTCAGCGAGACTGGTGAAGTGCGGGAGGTCGTCCACATTGATGTAGGCACCGATGTGTGACGACAGGGCAGCAGCACGACGTGCAGCACGCTCCTCCTCCGACACCATCACGGCATCGCCGTCTCCAGCGTTGTTGCCGTCACCTTGGCCATGCTGGCCAGCCTCACCGCCAGGCACACCGCCAGGCACACCGCCATTCGGTGCTGCTGCAGCCTCACCGCCACTCGGTGCTGCTCCAGCGTTCCCGTCGCCGTTCGGCGGGACCTGTGGAGGTGCCTCACCGCCTCCGACACCCTCACCACCTCCGCCCATCACGACATCCTCAGGATTCGTGTCACAGCGGGCGGAGCGCCAGTGTCCATGGCTCAGATCGATCTCACTCAGATCAACCGCTTGTGTCCTTCTCCCCGCAGGAGTAGCCAAGTGGGCTCATAACCAGTTGCGTAACACAGTGGTCAAGCGAGTTATCGGCTAACGCACACCAAGCACAAAGAGCCTTCACGGAACACGCAAGAGTCTTTTGTCCGGTGCAAGGAGGGATAGGCAGACAGAAGGAGAGCGGGCGCCAACCGTCCATCTATCTATCCGCCATTTCGCATTCGCATTCGCATGGCTCTAGGGCGCGTATAACTGTTCTCCAACCTGTGGGCGTATCATTCCGCAACAGCTGAAAACAGAAATGCCAAGAATTGCCAGCTGAGTGGCAGGTGATGATCGTTGTGGCGTCCATATTGATGGTTGAACTTGGTGCATGGAGCGGCTCATGGACGCAGAAGGCTTGACAGACGTCTTGGCAGGTCCTCCTCAAGACGACAACAATGGTGGCAGCGTGGTGGAGTACAAGGGATTCAGGCTGCGGAGGAGGGCCGTAACCGTCAAATGCGGCGGCAAGGTCAGTCAGACAGACACAAAAACGAGCAACTGACCCGACGCCATCATCACGACGGGCAAGAACACTCACTCTCTTTCTCTCTGTTTCTCTTTCTCTCTCCGTGTGCAGCTGTTCGGCCTGCCCACGCTGGCGGTTATGGTACTCAACGACGAGTCAATGGCAGCACAATCGTCATCAGCACCAGCACCAGCACCAGCAGCAGCAGCCCCTCAGCGTGACGGACAGGCATCTGGCGTGCCATCGAGGAATGAGGATTCTGCTGCTGCTGCCGGTGCTCAAGGTGCTGCTGCTGATAATGCTGCTGTTGATGATGGTGCATCCGATAGCAGCAGCAATGACGATGATGATTCGGCCGATGTCACCCTGTGTGAGATTGACGAGTCGGGCAACATTATCAATGCTGCGTGGACCTTCCCGGCGGACTACAACGACAAGCCTGGCTCAGACGAGGTCAGCACAGATACACCAGAAGCACACAGTCCCTCACCTGCATGGCATTCGTGTGTCGGGGTCTCTTCGTGTGTCAGACCAAGGACGCGCCATCGAATGACGAGACGCTCTCAGGCACCAACCACGACGACGGCCAAGCACCGGTGTCCACCAACGCCCTTGCCCCCACCCTCCCCCTCCCCTCGCGCCAAGGCAGCAGTGTGGCGGCAGCAGGCCCACCGTCTTATGAGTACGACCCAGAACTCACCGTTGAGACGCTCCAGAAGCTCTACCACCTGGGCCGGCAACGACTCATCGGGCAGCAGAAGGCGTCTGCAGCCACACGCGTGTCAGCATCAGGCTCGGCGGCTTCTAAGCTGGCCCGCTCCCCGCCCACATCTCTGTCCCACTCCCTCTCACGATCTAGATCAGGGTCGCCGCACGGCGCGCAGCACCAGCACGGCCGCCGCAGGCGGGCGCATGGCTGGACGAATGACAAGGAGAGAGCACCGCTGGCGCGAAGGTCGTGATCGTGATCTTGATCGAGGGGCTTCGTCGCGGTGGCCGTCGGGTGTGGCGTCTGGTGCAGACAGGCGGGGGCGGCCCGGCCCGATGGAGCGATGGCGCTGCAGCAGCGGGGGAGAGATATATGGGAGCAGGGAGGCGGCATGACCTCCTCAGAACAGACAGGACAGGTGTATCTATCTATCCCTTCATTTGTGTGCTGCTTATCTATCCAATCCACTTACTTGCTCACTCTCTGTGTATGTGTGTATGCTAAGCAATTGGCTGGATGAATCGGTAGGTCCCAATGAATGGGCTTTTATGCCGATTGACTGACGGTGTCGTGGGCATGGCGTTTTTTGCCGGTCGGTGTTGACAGGCGCGGACGGATTGTGTGCGTGTGTGTACAGAACAGACACATGACTATGACGCAATGTGACGTGACCTACTGTGATGTGATGTCATGTCCTCTGTAATGAGATGCCCATTTGTCGGTGAGTGAGCGAGAGACGACTGACTGACCGAGAGAGTGGAATGGTGACATTTGGAAGCTACGTCACAGTCAGCGATGGACGGACGGGCGCACAGGCAGCCTCTGTCAAGTCAGTCCGTCACTCACACTCACCCATTTGTCTGCTCCCGCCTTATCCACACATCAGCCACCCAGTGCCACACACGCGGCGCATAAGACTTGACGCCCTCCACGTGACACACGCACACCTCACAACTCGCACACTCACCCTCACCCTCCCCCTCACCCTCCCCCTCATTCTCCCCCTCACCCTCCCTCACCGCCGCCCGCACCTCCCTCCCCACCCTCTCACCGAACTCCCGTCCGTCTGGCGCGTTGCCATGCAAGTGCAGCCAGCCGCCCGACCGCTTCAGCACACGCAAAGCGGCGGGGAGCCCATCCCAGCAGAAGGGGATGAGACCCATCAGCACCCTGTCGGCCGTGTCGGACCACTGAGCTTCATCGGGGCCGTCAGGCAGGCCCAGCAGGCGGCTGTCGCCTTGCCGGATTTCCAGACGGTCGTCGAGGTCATCGATGCTGTTCAGAGGGAGGGAGGCCCTGAATGCCTGGATCAGACCAGGCCGGGCGCCTTTCCGTGTCTGTGTCGGTCTGTCTGTCTGTGTGCGTGTGCGTACCTCTATGGCCCGGGGATTCCAGTCACAGGCGCACACCTTGGCGATCGACCTCCTCGGGTTGAGTGCGAGCAGAGGGAGGGTAAAGTACCCAATGCCGCAGTACATGTCCACCACCACACTGCCCGTTTCCGATGGCTGGCACGGGCAGTCTTCTGGCGGGCTCCACTCAGCCATTCGACGCCTGCACCATGTCACAAAGGATAGACAGACAGACAGACAGCATGGGTGCGGCGGGTGAGGTATCGGTATCTTTGTCGGTGACCGACCTTTCAGTGCCGTTTCCTGATGCAAACATGTTGGTAGTGACATCAAAGCGGTAGACCACGCCATTCTCGCGGTGGGTGGTCCACCCGTCCCCACCCCACATCAACACAGCCTGCAACGACACAACAAGATGCCACCATCCATCCGTCCATTCATCCATCCATCCATCCATCCAAATCTCTCTCTCTCTTTCTGTCCCCTACTCACCTTGCTGTCCCTCGTCGGCCCCTCTATCTCCCCCTGCACACCGACAGCCTTAACCCCAAGACCCTTCGCCAGCTCCCGCAACACAATGCCGCCCTTCTCGGCGCCATCAAGCCCACCGAAAGTCCCATGTGGAAACAGCACAACGTCCCCAAGCCTCTCCCATCGCGTCGGCACCAGGCAACTGGCGTCACTCACATAACAGCCGGATGGACCGGCCCTCAGCAGTGCTTGTGCGATGCGGTCGCTGTCAGACGGCGGGATGACTTGCGCGTTGCAGAGGTCGCCGTCGGCCACGAAGGCAATCACCTGGTCGCCATTCGCTGCCGAGCCATTGCTCGCGATGAGTTCAATCGACTCAAGAAGGTCTGCCGGGAGAGATGCCGCGTCAAAGGAGGCGAGAACGGGGACGTATGACACCGCCGTGCTGTCAGCGGCTGCCTGCTGCTGCTGCTGTGTGTGGTGCGGTCTTGTGGTGATCTTCCTGGCCCTGTCGAAGAGGCCTTGTTGCTCCAGGGCTTGCTTGATGGACTTGACGGCGTGTAGATCTCGCACCACGATGCTCAGATTCGATGCGACAGAAGCGCACTCGCGACGGCTGACGCGATGGGGAGGCATTTCTGAGGCTGCCGCTGCTCTTGCCATGCATCGGCGAAAGATCAAGCTCGCCATGCGAATGAAGTGATGGAAGCGCGGGTGTCGGGGGAAGGAGCTCAATGCAATAGTTTGTTGCAGACACGTGTTATGCAACAAGTCGACAGTCCGCCAGTCAGTAGTGAGTGAATACAGCTCACTGGGAGGAGCAGGCATGGCATGGATGGTCTCACGCACCACACGGCCGCACGCACACGCACACTGATGGATGGATGGATGGCATCGATGCAGCAGGGACGTTGGGCCTCGCTGCCGCCTCACGCACACATCGGATGCAGCACACCTTTTTTGTCTTTTGGCTTTTCCCGTCACACCAGACACACACACACACATGGAAGCACCTGTAGCAAGTAGGCTCATGTGTGTCGATGATGGGACAGGGAGAGAGGGAGAGAGAGAGGGAGGGCATGACATCATGCATCAGCATCAGTCAGCTATCACCTAACCGATGCTGATGCTGCGACATGATGCACAATCCACCACCCACTCACCCACTCAGTCACTCAGGCAAAGAGAGAGAAGGAGGGGAGGAGAGACCCGCCTCAAAATCGAGCCACACACACACGCACGCACACACACCCACCCTAATAATATATGAATGCAATGCGGTGCGCACACTCAAACAAAGAAGGAAGTGGCAGCAAGCATAGCGCAGCGATCTCTGGACTGTCACCCACTCCTCTGCAACCATCGCCCACCCACCCTGTGCCCGTCAACCGCCAGCTCACTCGACTCACTCACTCATCGGCAACCAACAGAGAGCCAAACAGTGAGTGAAGTGAGGGGCGGGAGGGCAGCCAGGCGGGATGAGATTAGATGAGCAGCAGACAGGGAGGGAGTGGGCAAGAGGGAGGTCTGAGCTGCACACATGGAGCTACAGGTAGGTACCTTTTTTGTTGTCTTACAACCCCTTGCCCCTCGTTTCTTTCGTTGTCCTTTTCTGTCCCCCCGACTAACATACAGAGCTTTGTAGAGAATGAGGGGGTACGTGGGCAGGTGTGAGCGGCGGCAAGACGGGCTCGCCACGCAGGCAAAACGTGGCACACGCCAGGCAGGCAGGCAGGTCGGCCGGCCGGAAGGCTGGATGGCGCGGGAGTGATGGGCGGCACGAATCACTCACTCACTCAGACAGACAGGCAGGTAAGCAGGCTAGCCATTGAAAACAACCACCACTTGCGTAGCGCACCACCACGCCCATCCCATAGTAACCCACCCACACACGCCCACCCCACCAGGCCACAGCCACCCACCCACCACCCAGTGGCCAGCTACGCCCGGCTGTCTGTCCGTTTCTCTATCTGTCTGTGTCGGTGATGTCTGTCGGTGAGTGCGTCAGTCAGTCAGTCAGTGATGAGGAAGTCAGTCAGTAGGTGGTGCCTTCGGGCGGCTGGGGGAGTCGCCTGTTCTGGGGCGAGACCATCTCCCGCCGCAGGTTCTCGAGGATGGTCTCCATCGTGTAGTTGCGGTTCCAGTTCTGCAGAGTCGACAAACCGTTCACCTACACACACACGCACACACACAGGGAGAGAGAGGGAGGGGAGATGCGCGATAGGCGTGGTGAGGGGTCCCTGTCAGTCAAGTCAAGGCCACGTGTGTGCGGTGCGGTATGTGGATACCGCGCCATGTCTGTCGACGGGTGAGATGTTGATTTGCGTGTTGAATCGCACGGTGGGGGGCCGGTCGGGGTACTGCTCGCCGCATATGATCGTCAGGTTGTAGATCCGATTCTCATACGCCGTCTAAACACAGTCACACAACACAACACAACACAACACAATACCACCCAACATGAGAGCACTGCACTGGCTGCATCGGCATCTCATCGCCTGTCGCTGGCTGGTGTGAAGCAAGGTGAGTGCGTACGCCGGGCGGTCCGAAGATGGTGCAAGTCCATGTGGTGAGAGTGATGTCGTCGGCCCGCTCGAGGCCCCAGGTGCACCCCTCGGCGCCCTCGCCCTTCTGACCCTTCTCCAACTCGGCCAGCAGACGGAAACTACGGGGCACAACCACCTGACGCAAGCAATCAAACATACCAAACACACCAAACATACCAAACACACCAGACAGACAAGTGTGCTGCGCCGCGCCGCGCCGCGCCGCGCCGCATTGGTGGACCTGATCTGTGTTGTGTCTGCCTGTGCCTGCGTAGCGTACCGCCATGGCTGATGGGTTGATGAGTGCTGTCTGTGCTGCAGGTGTAAGTGACCTGTCGTCGTCGAACAGACAGATGCGAGGAGCCCAGCTGACAGCCGACAGCCGATCAGACGGAGTGACTGTTCGCCTTGCCAGATGCCGTCCTCTCGTGTGTCAGCCGCCTCGAAGCCTCACACGCCTCGCTGCAGACCGGGAAGCCTCAGCTCAGAAAATGGGGTTGGTTCTCGGCGCGTTCAGCTCTGCCAGAGCTCCTGGCGTCCTCCAGACCAGCTGTAGGCGTGCTGAGGAGGCAAAAGAGGCGGGTGCTGCGACACGGATTGCGGATCTCTGCGAGCTCAGAAAGGTGAGAGCCTCGAGGGAAATGATGACAAGCATGAACGCGCTGCTTTGTGGGCTGGTGGTGTTTGTGCTGGCGGCCGCCGGTTGGGCAGCGGAGGTGCCAGTTTCCTTCGTGAGCTACCTCAACGGGAGGTCATCATCATCCTGCAGCACAGGCGCCCTGAAGGCATGCAGGAAGAAGGTAAGCGAGCAGGGCGGCCAGACGGACGGCTGCCTTGACGGCTGCCTGGACGGCTGAATGGCTGATCATGCGCAGATCAGATCCCCATCTATCTATCGTCTTTCTTCTTGCTTCCATTCATTGGCTGTGTGTTGTCTTCGCTTGCTGCTGCTGCTGCTGCTGTGTGTGTGTTGACTGACAGAGTTTGTTTCGTCCAGGTGTAGGGTGCCTGACGATGCGCAAGGACTCCAACAATGGGGAGGGGCCGCAGGGCAACAAAGACGACTTCGAGTACAGGGTCAGAAGGGAAACCAGAGCAGGGAGGGAGGGAGGGAGGAACGATAGGCAGAGAGTGGACACATCTGTGTCACAAAGGTGTAGGCGTGTATGTGTGTGTGTGTGTGTGTGTGTGTGTGTTGGCTGACAGGGTGGTGTAGACTGGGATGCCGAGTGGAAGAAGGTGCTCGAGGGACAGCAGGTGCGGCGGGGCGGGATGGGCGGCTCAGCCAACATGCGCACACACACATATATGCACACGCGCATCGCGTGGAGGATGGGCCCATCCGACCGAGGCACCACATACGTGTTGTGTGATGCAGGACAAGATTCAGCGTCCCAAGGGGACAGAGGTGCTGACGGACTTCCAAAAGACGCAAAAGAAACTGCAGTCAAACCTCAGCCGGTGAGTGAGTGAGTTGGGGGCAGGCACCAACGAACCAACCAACGAACGAACGAACGGTCTGCGGGTGCATTACATTCCTGTCTGTCTGTCTGTCTGTGGTGCGTTCTATGTCTGTCAGTATTCCGTCGTCCTTGAGTGACTATGTGGGCGACTGGCGCTTCTGGCTGGTCGTCATACTCGCACTCTCCTTCATCGCGTCATTCGTCACTACCTTCAACAGGTAGGTCGGCGTGAGCAATGAAAGAACCGCACACCCACTTGTATGTGTGTGTGTGTGTGGTGCCTGCCTGCCTGCCTGCCTTGTTGTGTCAGGCCACAGCTGACGGTCCAGTCCACTCAGCTGCAGGCCCTGCTCGGAGAGTTTGTGGAAGAGACCGAAGACATGGTGACCTTCACACACAGACAGACAGACAGACATCCACAAACACCCACCCGCATCCGCCGCCCTCCCACAGGCCGCCTCTGCTTCCTGTCTGTGTCAGTTTGCCTCCTTGTGGAGCACTGCCGAGCCAGCGGACGAGATGAGTACGGGTGGGGGTCTCGTGCGATACGCGTCGGCAGCACAGGCTGAGGATGCCCCCCTCCCTCTCCACTGGATGTCGCTCGCACTCCTCGACAGCCTCAAGGAGAGAACCTGACACACCCTGACCGAGTGGATGGGTGGGTTAGGAAGGGACGATGGCTGGCTGCTCGCCTGCCTGCCTGCCTAGAGACGCATCTGCCTGTCTGTCTGCCTTGGGCAGGGTGGGCGTGTCGTCTGGGTGGTATGGCAACGAAGTAGCCGAATCTAGCAACCCCCCACATTGGGAGGGGACGGATTGTTGAGTACGAGAAGTACGATAGATGCCTACTTAGTTCTCTGTGGTGGTCTGTCGGTTGATTGGATTGACTGATACCCTTTTTTGTGCTGGAGGGGGGGGAGCCTTGCCGTCGAAGACAGCTCCTCCTTCCCTGCCCTCTCCTTCTCCCTCTCTTTCTCCCCCTCTCTCTCTCTCTCCCCCTCTCTGCCTCTGTCTCCCTGGCTGCTCGAGTGTGTATCTTACCCTTCTCTCCTGTGTGGCTGTCTGGCTGTTCCATCGGGGAGGGGTGCGGTCAGTCGGTTGTGTGCGTCGGCTCTGTACCATAAGTACGCTGAGGGCCGTGTTTGAGCGTCAATGCGATCCGCTGGCAGGGCTGGCTGGTGTGGCTGGTGGTGCTCGTGAGTGAGTGTGGTGATATACGTGGGTGTGGTGTACAGAATGATTGATTGATATAAGGAGGGAGTGGGTCACTACTACTGTAGGTCTACGGTGTGGTGTGTGGTGTGTGTTGGTGTGAGTGCCGGCCGCTAGGGCTTCTTTATACGATCCATCCCGCATCCACCAGTACTGATCGACTGGACGATCGACTGGACGATTGGTTATTGATTGACTAACTGAACACCCACCATTGATTGCCCAAGAGAAACACGGACCGGACGGACCGAGCTGCTCGGGGCGGTCGAGGGGCCCACACACACAACATTTGATTAGGTATAATAAATAGAGAGTCACGAGTACACACACACACCACGGACACACACCCACCCGTGCCATGTGACGGGCAGGCAGGCAGGCAATCATTCAGAGAGGAGAGGGGCAGAGAGGGAGGGGATCCATGTAGGCGAGGTGCATGGACGACACACCTAACGTACCTATATGGCAGCACAACGACAGAGACAGAGAGGCAGAGAGACAGACAGACAGACATTCAGACAGACAGACAGACAAGAGAGAGAGATCGAGAGAACGAGTCAGTTACAGGACTGCGCAGGCACCCGGACACCACACTCAGACACGCGGACAGACACAAGAAGACTACAGCCAGAGTCGACCCCACGCTCAATGCAACAAGGGTGCCGCACAGCCGCCGACATCACACCAGACCACAGAGACCACACAGACCAAAGACCAACCGACCGACGGATTGATGCTGCCATAAAAGCAACTTCCCTCCCGCCCTCCGTCGCCACGCCATTCCCCTTCATCCGTCTCTGCCACACGCACACACAAGCGCGCGGCCCGATCGGTACATAAAGACCCTCCGTCCGTCCGACCAACCGACCATGAATGCAATGCACTCATGCAGCTCACTCACCTCCTCTCGGCCCGGTCTCACCGAGGTGTGTCCAGAACACGACCCTCTCTCTCACCCGAGCAACACCCCACGCCCGAAGGCAACGAGGAACACCGAATGGAATGGATGGATGGATGGATGGATGGGCTGACCAAAGATCCAGCCACCACAGACAGACAAGAAACAAAATGACACGCGAGGAGGGTAGGGGAGATACACGCGAGCATAGAAGCGATGGATAGATAGATGCGGCAACGTCAATCAACCAGGGTGGGTGAAAACGATCGACGGCCATGATGGGATGGGATGGTTAGATATGAGTGTGCGTGCGCGTCTCGCACACCAAAAAGCAGCATAGCATGTACCCCACACCACATCCGCCCAGACACACACACACTCACACTCACACCCGCACTCCCACAAAAGAGCCCTCACCTTCCACATATAAAGATCGCTCCTCTCCCACCCACCGAGTCAGTCTGACCCAGTCAGTCAACACATCACTGCCCCTACCCTACCCCACCCCACCCCTCCCTACTGACTTACACCCACACCACACACACGAGCACACAAATCACTAAAGCTTGGGCCCTCTCTCTCTGTCCTTGTGGCTGTCCAGCTCGGTCACATCCCGAATGTCGATCTCGCTCGTCTCGTCGGTGAAGATCGTCAGGGCGAACTCGGCCTCCTGACCAGGCTCGAACGTCGACACCAGCAGCGTGTAGGTCCGGGGCGTCAGGTAGAACTCCCGCGACACCTCCCGCAGAGCGCAGTAGCAGTCGTGCTTGTTGACCAGGGCCTGGTAGTCCTCCCGGCTCTTGCGGACGCGCCGTGGTTTGGAGAAGGCGTAGAGCTCGAGGGCGATGGGGTGGAGCTCCTTGGTGGTGCCGCGGGTGTCCTTCTGCGCCAGGACCACATAGACGGTGGTGGGCTTCTTGACCGTGATGACGTAGTGGGGGTTGCTCGTGACGCTCGTGTGGTTGGTGCTGCCCCCGGCAGTGAGGCCCTTGGTCCACGCCCCGTGGAAGACGTTCTTGCACCACTTGCCGTTGAGGCCGGTGGGGTCGTCGAACACCCGACAAATGTACACGTCGTCGAACTGGTTGACAAAGTCCTCGAAGGACATCCAGAAGATGCCGTCGCCCGGCAGCGGCTCGTACTCGAGCAGCCGCTTGAGCCGCGTCGTCCACTGGTGCGAACCGTCGCTGAAGTCGCCCTTCCACTCCACACCCTCGCGGCCCCACGGGTTGCGCAGCTTGATCAGCTTATAGCGCTTGCCGCCACCGGCGTCCACCTCACGCACGTCCAGCACGGCGTACGCGTGGCCCTGCACGATGCCCAGAGGCGAGACGTCCTGCGCCCATGGGCTGCCGTCGCACCCGGTCCCTCCCGCAATCTCGCCGCCGCCGGCGTCATCGCCCCCCACCCCGGGGGAGCCCGCCCCGATGAGGTAGCCGAGTCGGTGTGCGTCGACCATCTTTTGCCAGTGGGTGCCGTCGAAGTTGGCCGTTGGTGAGAAGGTGCGTCTGAGGTTGATGATGTCCCCGAAGCCGCCCGTGAGGTCGACGAGGGCCATGTGGACGAGGCCGCCCTCGATGGAGCTGTAGGAGCCGTGGAGCTTGGCGTAGGCCTTCTCGATGAGCATCATCCACGACTGCGGGCACCGGTGGTGGTCGCGGTCGTACCGCCACGCGGGCTTGGCGAACTTGGGGCACCTTGGGAGCCCGGTGCACTTGTAGACGGACCCGTCTGAGGCGATGCTCGAGGGCACCAAGTCGTCGACGATCACCGGCTTGACGCGCCCGTCCTTGTAGAACTGCAAGGCATACACCTGCACACACACGAACATGATGACGAAGTCTGTGCTGTGCTTTGCTCATGGAATGTGTGTGTCTCACCCACCCCGTAGGGGCAGGTCCGTCTGGCCTCCGGGTGGAAGACACGCTCCATGAGTGCAGGTCTGGTGGACAGGACCGAGAGGGCGGACAGGAACCAGCAGTCGCCGAGCTCGCCCTGGTTGATCTCCTCAGCTATGTCGATGTCCTTGGCGCTGCCGAAGGTGCCGTCCTCGTTGTCGCACAGCAGGCACGTCCGCCGCTGGTAAACCTCCTCGGGCCGCAGCCACGACAGATTCCGCACCCACGCTTGGAAACAGGGACCTGCACACAGACACACACACCCATTTAAAGATGCAGTCATCTCATCTCATCTCGGTGCATGTGTGTGTCTGTGAGGGTACCCACCCTGTCCGAGGCTCTCCTCGTTGGGCGGGAAGGCGTAGTCGGTGAATTTGCGGTTGAGTTTTGAGCAGAGGGAGCGGACCTCCTTGAGGCGCTGGCTGACCAGCCGCTGCAGCTCGTTGAGCTTGTCCTTGCTCTCCGTGACACCCCGCTGGAACTGGCTCCAGTTGTTGAGGCGGTCGTCGACCTGCTTGCGCAACTCGATGTCGTCATCGGCGGCAGACTGCATGGCCTCCAACTCCAGACCCACCTGCTCCAGGTTCCGCAGCACGCCCGACAGGTTGCCCTGCTTCCGCAGCCACGACGATACCTTCCGCTCCGTCTCGTCGCTTGTGATGCCCAGCCCGTCGACATCCCCCATCCCCCCCTCCCTCTCCAATAGTTCACTCTCTGTCTCCTCCACTGCAATGTGCCCTTGTCGCTGCTGTAGTGAGAGAGAGGGGGGCCCGTCCTTTCCCGGCTCCGACACACGCGTCGGGCTGTACGGCCGCCTCTCGCGGATCACGTGCCTCTCGCGAGCACGGTCGCCCGAGGACAGCAGCCGACGCATCTCAAGGTCAGTCATCGACACCGACGGGTGCTGGAGCAGCCCACTCGACGTCACGTGAACCTCCGAGAAGCTCCCGTTGCCCGTCTGGATGACCTCGGTCAGCACGCGTGTGGGTGGGGCCGGGAGGGGAGGGGTGGCGTCCATCGTGCTGCTGGAGGGGAAGAATCGCAGCACACCGGCGCTCTCGTGTGGGCGGATGGGCGCAGGCACAGATGGGTCGGGGAGGGAGGCTGCGTCCGACGAGTCGGCGATGGAGACCGAGTCGCCCAGGGGCACCGACTGCAGCCATTGGCCGCCGCTCTCGAAGGCTTCGAAGAGGTCCCTCTGGGCCTCACCATGGATGGCGTCTGTCTCCTCCCTCCTCGGCGCCTCGATCTCGGGCAGCGGCGACATGTCGCCCTTGACGTCCAGCTCGGCCATGCTCTGCTCGGCGGTGCTCTTGACGCCGTCACCGGGCACCTCTCCCATGTCGAAGTGGTCCACCTCAGAGCCGCGGGAGGACCAGAAGCTGGGTGCCAGGCCAAGGTAGACGTCGAGGCACCGCTCGATGACCTCCTGGGCGAACACGGGCCCCTGATCCTGGTCCGAGTCGTTCATGATGGCTAGGCTCTGCAGGATGCCCGTGGCCAGGCTCTCGGTCTGCTGCTGCTCCTGCTCCTCCAGCTTCTCGCGCCTCCGCCTCTCCGCCTCGTAGTTGCGCTTGAACGAGTCCCGCTTGTAGTCCTCCAGCGCCCGGAGCCGCTGCACTGTCCCCTTGAGACGTCTAACGGTGTTGTCGTCGAGTGCGTCGATCTCGTCAGGTCTGGCCGTGGCGTACTCGGGCCCGAGGGAGCGGTAGAGCCAGAGCAGCTGGTTCCTCTCCTGCTTGCGGGCCGCGACGGCCGTCGAGATGACGTGCATCTCGAAGTCGGTCCGCTCCGCCCGACAGACCTCGACGTGGTCGGTGATGGACCGGTCCAGGTCGGCGATCTTAAGGAGGTGCTCGTGCAGGTGGCTGAGGAACTCCTTGCGGGCCGGCCGCCCGCCGCCCTCCTCCAGCCGCACCCAACCCCACAGCCACCCCTGCCTCTCGAGAGACCGCCGCCGCTGGCCCAGCTTGCACAGCCAGTTCTCCTTGGGGTCGTCGCCGATGACGGGCTCCAGCACGTCGACGCGCGATGTGGCGACGGCCGGGACGGGCGTGAGGTTGAGGGGGGCGCCGAAGCGGGCGAGTTCGTTCTGGTGGAAGGTGGCCTTGGTCTTCTCGCCGATCTCGCCTGTGTGCTGGCGCGTGAGGCGGCCGTTGACCTGGTTGTAGCACGAGCGAATGAAGGACAGGCTGAGAGCCTGCACGTGCTGCCGGAGGGCCCGCTGGCCCATCGTGGCGTAGTGGAGGACGAATATCATGAAGAGGGGGAGGGAGAGGGACGAGACGATGAGGCCCAGCCGCACCGGGTACACGAACATGGCGGCCAGCATGCCCCACAGCAGCAGCATCAGGAAGGCCGCCAGCACCAGATACGGCAGCTTGTAGGACGGCCGGACGGCACCCCGGTGCGGCTCGTACTTGTAGATCGGCATGAGGGTCGAGGGAATCCACAAGGTCTTGTTCTTGAGGATGGCGCGCTTCCACAGATGGACAATCGAGGCGATGACGCACAGCAGGAGGATCGAGTAGCCGCCCGAAATCCAGCGGAAGACGTACCCCTTGTGGTAGTGCACCGTGGCGCCGACGGCACAGATGATGAGGACGAGGGCGATCCAGCCGGCCAGCCCGCCCAGCACCCACTTGGGCATGTAGAACCGGTTCTCCACCCACTTGCACATGGCGAAGTACACGTACGCCAGGAACAGACACACAAGCAGCCCGCCCACACCCAGCGGCCACTTCTCTGAGAAGGCGATCGCGGCGCCGAGCGATACGGCGATGAGCGAGAGGAGTGAGATGTAGATGGCGAATGAGCTGAACAGGTTGGGCTGCCAGTTCTTGTCCTTCCAACGGGCCAGGGCGGCCGCAAACAGCACCACGGCGAAGTACAAGACCAGCACGAAGCTCAACGCCATTATCGCCCACGGCCTGCATTGCATCATCAAATCAACCAAGGGAGCGAGCGAATGTGACGGTGAAGGTGGGTGCACTGCATCCCCTCGCCCGGTAGTGTGTGGTGTGGTGGTGGCTCAGGTGGCCCACTTGTCCACAATGTTGTCCCTCCTCTGAATGACGAGCATGGAGCAGAGGACGCCGAAGGCCACCTGGGCCAGGACAAGGACGGAAATGCACAGCACCTGGAAGGGGCCGATCTGCAGCTTGCCGAAGTAGCCCTTCCACCCCAGGAAGGTCCCGAACAGCTGGTGCAGCACAAACCCCGCCGTCCATCCGAACCAGCTGGGCTTCTGGTAGAAGGACACGCCGATGGCCAGGCACCACAGGATGATGTACGAGATGGAGAAGCACCCGAGCGTCTTGTAGTCGGTCGCAGGGAGGTGGCAGCCCCCGCCCGCCAGGGGGCCGAAGAACGCCCGGATGCAGTTGCAGTTTGCCGGGGTGCGCTCTGCGGGCGGCCTCAGGATCTCGAACTGGTTCTCCACCCACTGCGCGTAGAAGATGAGAAACGGCGGCACGCCAAGTGGGGCGAAGATGGCGACCCAAAGGATGATGGGCTGGTGGGTGAGGGCCCACAGGAGGGCGCCCGCGCCGATGAGCATACAGTAGGAGAAGGAAAGTAGCGCGCCGATTTGCTTGGTCATCTTCATGCGCTGCTGCCACTTGCGGATGCCGATGGCGGTGACCATCCAGCAGGCCACCACCAGCAGCGACACGACGCCGTAGAGCAGCTGGTCCATGTTGAGCAGCTTCGGCACCACACTCTCCTTGTCACTCATAAGGGAACACACCTACACAGACACACAGACAGAAACACTCGAATGCCCCTCACTACTTGGATGTGGCGGCATCCCATTCCCTATATCGTGTGCTCACTTCACTTACCAGCATCTCTAGTATGAACAGTATGGCGAGCCCCGACAGCAGCACCTCGGGCGATCGGCACCCCTCCTGCTTGAGCGTCGAGCGCCAGTGTGCGAAGTAGCTGAGGTTCATGGTCGCCAGCCGCGTCATGCCCCGCATCCGCCGTGGCGTAATGCGCTCGCTCACAGCTGCCGACGCCGACTCGCCGGTTAACTCGCCCGGCGGTTCGTCGATGACGACATCCTCCAGCTCCATGCTGTCCTCCTCGGCATCGGCACACCCATAGTCCTTCTGGCCACGCCCATCCTCGACACGGGAGCCGGCCACGTTGACCTTTGAGATGTACTCCTGCACCACCCTGATGGTCTTCATCTGCCGCCGGAACTGCTGCTCTCTGTCACCCACTGGCAGCCGCTTGCTCACGATGGCCGTGGAGAGCAGGATGCCCAGCGCAGCGAAGATGGCGGCGTGGCCCACGAACCAGTAGTTGTATGTGATACAGAGGCCGCAGCGACAGGCCAGCATGAGCAGACACAGCACGGCGGCGCTGTTGAAGCCGTCGCCGAGCGAGCGGGAGGAGAACATGATGACCAGGTCCAGCACCACGATGATGACCACCGATGAGAAGCCGATCAGCCGCGGACGGTCCGGGTCCTCGGGGTCGACATTGGACTCCGACGTGCTGTTGTTGCTGCTTGCACCGAGTGCCGGGACGAGGGCGAGCGAGGTTGTGTCAGCGGCTATGGTGCTGTTGTTGGGCACTCGGTCGGCGTCGTCCCGCCACAACTCGTAGATATACCTGAGAGACCGAGCAAGACACACACAGATGCATTCAAACGACGCTTTGTACGCCCCTCTCTCTCGGCGCTTTGCTCACTCAGGGATCGTGCCCATTTTGAGGAGGTAGACACAGACAGCATGGCCCACGAGGATGAGCACCGCCGAGCCATACAGCCAGTAGATGAGCTTCCGCGCCTGTCGCTGCCTCCTTGCGTCGACTGCCTCGACGGCCATGTTGACGACCTCCGAGGGGTCGATGTCATCCTTGGTTGGCGTGTCGTCAGCCGTCATGCCCCACAGGCCGGCCACCACGGTGCCCATGCCCTTGATGTGCGGCAGCGAGCGGGCCGACCGCCGGGTCCCTGAGGTCTTGCCGTCGGGGGCCTTGCTGGGATTCGACGGCGGACTACCCTGTGGAAGGAGTGACATCCAGAGACAGACAGGCAAGATGAACAGACAGGCAAGATGAGCAAAATGCGTTTGTTGGATGGGATGGAGGCCAATGCGAATGAGTCGTGTGTGTGTGTGGTTACCGATGCGTCGCTTCTGCTGGGGTCCGATGTGGTGCCGCCGCTGGTGTGCTCCTCCCCATGGCCGTCGCGGTGATCCGTCACGGCCGGGCTCAGGCTCGAACGTCGCGTGGTGGTGGTGGTGTCGCCGAGAGTGAACCCAGCCGACTGCGGCGGCTCGGACGAGGTGTGCGGGTGGTGCAGCGTCAGGCGCCCCACGCCCATGTCGCCCCCGTCCCTCTGCTGACGCATCTTGAGCAGTTGCTGGTCCACCTCGGCGATGAACTCGCCGAACGGCAGGTGGAGCTTCCAAAACGACGCGTACACGCAGAGCACCACCGGGACCATGTTGAGGCTGTAGAAGACGATGGCGAACCCGTTGAACGAGTAGAGGGGCTCGTCGCACCCCTCCTTCTCGTTGCGGGACACCACCAGCACCGCCAGCTGGAACACCAGCCACAGGCAGAAGGACAGAGCGAACAGGACTATCACCGACGGGCTGAACGAGAAGTTGAGGGCCGCAAACCGCCGCAGCCCTCCCAGGAATGCCAGGAAGCACAGGACGGTGAGGGGTAGGCCGATGGCGACGAAGGCCGGGACGTCATGCTGCAGCAGTCGCCACACCCACAAGACGAGAAATATGAGAGAGAGGGCCATGAGCATCGTCACGACGGCGTACAGCAGGGGCACCAGCCGGAGGAACCACAGGGGCGTTTCCTCCTTCTCCGCCTGTCTGGTCCTGGTCCTTGCCACCTCTGTGCTGCCGGCCGAGAGAGTGCGTCGCACGGCATGGTAGAGTGAGATTAGAAAGAGCGGGATGCGCCTGACGTTCCACTGTGCCCGTTCGAGGACGCAGATCATCAGGACGAAGAGGACGCATGCCGGCAGCAGCCAGGTGGCCGACTCCCGGCTCAGGGCGGGACGCCATGCCGACGAGTTGCGATAGGGAGGCGTGAACGACTGGAAGCACGCCGCGTCGAATCCCATCGCTGCCTGCCGTGCCCACCGCACTCAGTACGCAACGGACGCAAGCCGGGCGTCTGTCGAGGAGGGAGCCGTCAGGAAGAACAACAGGTCATCGACCGACGCCGGACAGGTAACAGGTGATCTGACTGCGGATCACTGACGCGTGTTCCAAGGCAAGTGTCTAGCTTTCCTCGCGCCCAAGATCAGCGGAGATCTCACAATCTGAAACCGCTCTCTCTGAGCTCGCAAAAGAGGAGAGAAAAGCTCGCAGATCTTTCGGCTACTTTTGGGCCAAATCCCCCCTCTTTCCTCCCCGGCAGGTGTCGTAAGGGCTCCCACACAAAGAGATAGTTGAGATCTGCCATCTCTCTGTGAGCACCAACCCAAGCCAAGCATGTCGAAGAAGCCCCGTTTCATCGGAGGGTCAGATTTGAAGGTTGCCGTCATCGGAGATGAGGTGGGTGGAGGAAGACAGACAGACAGCGCCCCAGCCACCCCTGTGGAGAGATCTCAAACGTTTGTTCGCTGTTCAGGACACCGTGGTGGGCTTCTGTTTGGCTGGAGTCGGCGGCCGTGACGCCCAGGGCCGCTCCAACTTCCTCATTGTCGATAACAGTAACCACACGCACTGAAAGAGGCCCGGGAATGCTCAGCTGTTGCCGTACTCGTCTGTCTTTCGCCGTATTCCGCAGAGACCCGCATGTCGGACATCGAGAACGCGTTCCGTGAGTTCTGCGACCGCAAAGACATCGGCGTCATACTCATCAACCAACACGTGGGAGAGGGAGGGAGTGGAGCGCCCGTGTGACGGAGACGGATGCATGGGTTGGATGTGCGGTGCGAGTGTGGACTGGGTGTGTGTGTGTGCAGATAGCCGAGCAGATCCGGTACATGGTGGACACTCACGAGAAGGTCATCCCGACGGTGCTGGAGATCCCCTCGAAGGACAAGCCTTACGATGCCAGCAAGGTACGCACACCGCCCTCACCACACCCCACCACACCTGCAGCAAACACACACACACCCTCTGTGCTCCTTGTGCTTTAGGATTCGGTCATGTCGAGGGTCAAGGTGTTCTTCGGCGGCAACATAGAGTGAGTGATGGGACAGAGACGTACCGTACTGGGACCGCCGGATGGTCTGTTGGGCTGTCACACGGCGACGCAGTCACACGATGCTCGACACGTTTTTGGTGTGACGACTGCTAGCTAGGCTTAGCGAGAAGGGTGTCTGTCTGTCTGTCTGTCTAGAGCATACTGTGTGTATTAGGCGTGTGCTTACGTAGCATGCATAAGATAACATAACGATGGGGTTGTTGGCGTTTCACGCACGACGCTGTGATCATCTCAATGGATGGCAATGTGAATTGATTGCGAATCAGTCGTTCAGGTCTCTCCATCCATCCATCCACCCATGCAGGCAGGCTGGCTGGTTGGTTGGCTGGTCACGTGCTCTCATCCATATGCACAGTAGGCTCTAGTGAAGACGAATGCTCCACTACTCCGCTCGACGACTAAGCAATCCTTCCAAAACTATGCGCTGAGCCTGCTGGCCCTCGGCATTCGGCAGAGCCGAATGGCGTGAGAGCCACTTGGCCTTGACCCCATCGGCATGCAGCTGCGAATCGCGTGGGCATGGCCGGCGGAGGAATGACCAGATCTTCTCGCCGTTGGCGAAGATGTCGTGGTACGGATGTGGCTGGTCCCCCTCTCTCGCTTGAGGAAGTCCTTGCTCGGGCAGCGATGCTGCTTCTCGGCTTCGTGTAGAGGAGGCGGAACTGCCGCATGTCGGCTGACGTGCCGGTGGATGTGCCGCGTGCTGGTATGGGGTCTGTGTGGCTGGATGGGCGTTCATGTTCAAGTAACTAAAGCGATGGCAACAGCCACCACAACGACAGGACGACACCACACCTACACCTACACCTACATCTACATCTACACCAACACCACACACAGCACACACAGCAAAACACAACACCGCAGAGCACAACACAATGAGTGAGGGCTCATATGTGAATGTGTCTGTACTATATCTGGCCCTAGTGTGTGTACCTCAGATGATAGTGCCTTCGATGGTCTCAATCATGCTGTACAAGGAGGCCGGCGGCATCCACAAATCGCTGAGAAAACGGCCAACAATCAACCTGAGTGAGGGGATGGGGGGAGAGAAGACAGTGAAAAGTATGCGTGTATGTGTGATGTGGTCATGTGTCGTAAGTCGTGAGGCTCTCTCGTGGTGCCGGAGGGAGCTGGGCGGGAACTGCCGTTGCCGCGAAAAACACGGGTAAGTGAATTCTGCACACACGGAACAGGGAAAAACGCGTGTGATGAGATGTCAGATTTCGGTGATTTGTGTGTGCCACCTGATAGGGCGTGTCGAGAGGTGTACCTGGTGTGGTTGTGACGGGCCGGCGGGCCTGGGTCGCTGTACAAGAGGGGGTGAAGTTATCGGCAGACGCAGGTGTGGTGCTGCAGAGGGAGGAAGGAGGGAGGGAGGGGTCGATAGCTCGAGATGGATGAACGAGGGCATCATCCCGGTCGATATGGCTGTCTCAGCGAGGGCTCATTCGTCGTGATTAAGGCGCAATGACCATCAGTAAGTTTTGGTAGGACAATCAGATCTCGAGATCTTGAACTGCACGTTGTTCAGAGAACTGCACAAGGTGAGAACTGCACAAGGTGAGAACTGCACGTTGTTCAGGACACTATCCCGGTCGTGCTGGTGTCTGATTCACCTTCCATGGCGGCAGCTTGTCCCCAGGCCCCAATCGCTGTAAATCTCGACGGGGACTTGATGAGCTCGACGGGGACTTGATGAGTTTTTTTTTTCAACGATGAAACATCCCCCCCCGCATCCCGCGGCTGTGGCACGCCCAGATCACCCAGCCACGCGTCTGTCGGTTGAAATCGGCACGGGAATCGCGAATAAGTGCGTGGTCCATGCAGGTGTGCTGGAGGTCATCCAGAGCTGCCGTGGTGCCATGGCCGTTTGTGAGTGATGCACCCCTTCCCATTCGGGAGGCCGCCGCTTGGCCGCCACGATGCGGCCAGAGGACCACCCGCACCCTCCAGAGGCCCGTTGACGCTGAACCTGTCGTGGACGAATCAGAACGTGACGCCTCCGCATCAGTAAGACGACTCCAGACGCGATGGGGCAGAAAACAATCTGACGTTCACTCGTGCGTTTTTCTCTGGTGTGTTGTGTTGTGTTGCAGTTCGAGGCTTCTACCGTATGTACCTGGCGCGGCAGCGTATCATGCTCAGCGCCCCCCCGCCCCCCTCTCGCTCTGTCTGCGTGTGTGCAGAGACGTTGTATGAGTTGAAGGGCCCTCTGTCTGAGCCCACACTGATGCGCATCGGCGAGGGCATCATTCGAGCCGTCGAATACCTGGGACAGCAGGGGCTGGTCCACGGCGATATACACGTGCGTCTCGTGAGCTAGTTCATACAATACACTGTTCACTACTCCTACCCGTCATTGCGTATGTGTGTGTGGGTGTGTGGGTGTCTAGGTGTGGGTGCAGTCCAAGAATATCGGGATTCGTGTTCGTCATTCGCCACCCAGCAGGAGCAGCGACAGCAGCAGTGCAGCCGCTGTTGACGGCGCCAGCGGCGAGGGCGACGGCAATGAGTGCGGGGCCGTCTTGTTGGATCTGGATCGCCTGCACGACGGGATTCCTGGCGAGTACACACTGAGCATCGATCCCCACGACCCCCACACGTACCAGCAGCGGCCGCGCCCGGGCATTCTCACACACGGCCGTGACCTGCGCGATGCCGTCCACTGGATTCTCCAGAGCTTCAAGCAGCTGGGAGCTACGCAGCGCCTCTTGGAGATTTTCGAGGACGCCATTAGCTACGCTGAAACACAGCCTGATGCCTGTGCCTGCCATGTACGCCCACAGCGCAGCACAGCACACAACACACACCAGACACTCTGACAGACCACAGGACAGGCAGACGGTGTGGATGTGGGATGTGTCTCATTACTGATCGAACAGATCATTTTGCGACTGCGCGACTTGCGCCAGGTGGCCGACGACGAGGAACGCAGGACACCCCCTCTCTCGCCGCCATCTCTGCGGCTTCCCTGGCACCAGTCGCCGCAGCTCGACGTCGGCCGTGGCACCACCGACCACCGAAAGGCCCCAGCAGCAGCACCAGCAGGTGGACCATTTCCAGGACATCTTGGTGGCCCCCCCAACCAGCTCGCCCACAGCGGCGGCATCATCCCGCCCTGCCATTTCCCGCCGCACACTCGTGGCCAGGCTGCTGGTGTGCCGCTGTGTCGTCACGCCGCGCCACTGCACGGACGGCTGGCCACGTCCTTGTGTCGCCAAAGCTGTGTTGGCGCTTCCCCCCTCGCCCCGCCCCCACTCACTGGCGCCATCCCTCGCTGCTGCGTCAGGCCATGGCGAGCCCTTGCCCCACAGCCACCTCACCCCCACTCCCCCACACCAACAGGTGCTTACTACCACCAGCACCAGCTGTGCCAGTGATGCCCCACCCCGCTGGTTGCGCGGCCGGTGAGCAGCCCCGCCCCCTCCCGCAAGCGCCCCTCGCTCCGCTTTGGGCTCCCCTCCGTGGCCCCCCTCTTGCTGCTGCCGGTGCTGGTGGTGCCGCTGGTAGTGGTGCTGATGTTGTCGTAGGATACAAAGTGAGAAGACAGCACATCAACACACAAGACTGGGGTGATGTGCCAAATGCATGTCTGTTTCTCGTTTGTTATGTTGGATATAAAGACGGTTGCCGCAGAAGCAGGGCGAGCCACCAAGAATATCGCTGCCTACATCTTATATCCGTCGAGATGTTTCCTGACCTTCACTCTCGCGACCGTGTCTCTTCTCTACATGCGCCATGCCGTGCTGCGGGAATGCCGTGACGGTTGCAGGGACCACATGGCCATGAGACTCCATCCATCCATGCATCCATCCATCCTGGTCCATCAATCCATCTACTACCGCAGCCACACCAGCCGCATACATCGATGGATCGGTGTGGTGTCCCATACGCACACAGAGACACAGACGCCATTTGATCATGATCATACAGCAGTCGATCTGTCTATCTGTCTGTCCTACGGACACGTACGTGTTGCATACGCATGTGGTCGACAGGCGAACAAAGGAGGGGAAGAGGGGATGTCTGGAAGAGGGGGGGGAAGGCCATACACTCACTGTCTGTGTAGTAAGTGAGTGTATCATATGTGTGTTGAAAATGGTCACTTGCGTGACGTGACGTGCACTGACGAACGAAAATGTACATGGAGTGGCGGGCGGCCCAATAGAGGGGTGTGGTGTATGTGTCCGTGGAGGCACTTATCTTACGTATTAGTATGGCTACAAATCGTGATCGTACCGACCAACCAACGATCAACCAACCTGCCCTGCCCACCACTAAACGCCGCCGCAGCAGACAGACAGACAGACAGACAGACCAACAGGCGCCACATCTCCTCTTCCCTCTCCCTTGCAAGTACATGTACCCGCAGTAGCCACCCACAGACACGCATAAAACACCCCAACACGTCTCACAATGCAGTCAGGGCTATAGCGTCAGACATCAGTGTGGAGATGGGTTCCGCAGGAGGCCGCCTCGGTTGCGGTGGTTCTTGTGCCGCTGTGGCGACTTGGGGATGCCCGAGGGGTGCGTGGACACGACGGGGGAATGTTTGCGTGAGTCACCGGCACTAGCAGGTGAGGGAGGGGCAGGGGGCAGCAGGTGGAGCGAGTGTGTGGCGGGGTCGGCCCCGGCTGTGCGGGAGCGTCGCATGGTGGGGGAGCCTTCGTGGATCCACCGGTGCTGCCGGGACTGCTCGCACGTGGAGGAGTTTGTGGCTCGCTTCAGCAACAGACTCACAAACTCCTCCAGGCAAAGCAAGGCAAGGCAAGGATGGAAGCCAAGCCAAAATACAGAGCGTGTGCGTCTTGGCTCGCTCACCTTGGCTGTGTCTGAGACGCCCGCCCAGTCGTCACGACCCGATTTGATTGTTTACGTATAGTGCAACGCATCTACAACAGTACGCGGACAATGCGTGTTAATTCATTGCGGCCAGAGTTACTTCGGCTAGCATGCATGAGTGATATCACACCAGCGTTTATGCATCATCATCGAAAGTAAGCCATCTCACACCACAAACCGATGCAGAAAAGGAAAACGCTGTGAGCCGCACACTAAAGGCCTCAGCCAATCCCACCTTCTGCCTGCCTGCCTCCCTCCCTTCCCCCCTCCTCCCTCCCATCACTTGATCCGGAGAGACACAAACTGCCGCCTCTTGTCGATATACCCCAACTGGCCCCACGCAAATTGGCAGTCGTCATTGCCGAGGTGTTCGTTGAAGCCCTTGAGGACGGCCCCCTGGACACCACACTTGGCCGCCTCGTCCAGCCGGGCCCGATGCACCACCTCACGCACACCCAACACACGATGCTGACCGCCAGGCTGACCCCAGACCGCGAAGCACTGCAGCGGCACACGCACCATCTGGCCCCCCACATCAGCCATCGCCCCCACCACCTCCCTGTTGCTGCTGGCACGCAACGCCGCATACTTGACGAAGTGCTCGATGGCCGCAACCACTCGACGGGCCATGTCGGTATGGCGGAAGGGGAAGGCGGCAGAGATGCTCTCTTTGGCGGCCTCCTCGTCGAAGCAAAAGGCGGCGATTCTCCAGCTGATTGCGGCCGAAACATGAGGGCCGAGCGGGAGGGCGTACATGAAGTGGGCCGCAAAGGAGCGGTGGGCTGCCAGGCCGACAATGAGCGCCGCCATGGCCATGTTGGGCAGGTCCTCATTGAGCACACTCGCGTACTCAGTCGCCATCAGCTCGCGACGACTTCGCTGGCCATCAGTGTCCGCGGGCATGCGGCTGAGAGAATACTCTGCTCCCGCCCTCAGCAGGACACGAGCAGTACGCTTGAGCCTGCTGATCATGCTCAAGAGCCGCTCCCTTTCCTGCAAGCCCAGGGCTGCAAGACTGCCGATTTGCATGAATCGCTTCTCTCGATCCACTGTCTCCTCGCCCTCCCTCTGGTCTCTCAATTGTTGCCCGTGCGGAAGGGAGCAGTAGTCGAGCGCACTGGCAGCGTTACCAAGGGGCGACAGGCAGGGGTCATTGCGTCGCGCTCTGTTGATATCAGCTTCAGGGAGCCGACGGCAGAGGAAATCCGTGGCGCAAGGGGAGCCGAGCTTGGCCGCCAGGTGGAGTGGGGTGTCTCCAGTCCAATTGCATGCTCTCATGTCCGCCCCATTGTCCACTAGCAGCCGCATGTAGGCGTCAATGAAGGTCTGAGAAGCACCCCTGCTCCACCTCGGCCGCCTCGTGCACCACACTGCCATAATTGCCATGGTGCCGCTCGGTGGCGAGTGTTGGGTCTCGTTGGATGAATCGCTCGTAGATGGACAGCAGGCGCTGCTCGGTCTCAGCAGACGGCGGACCTGACACACAGCCAAAAGATCGAACACGATGTGGATTCCATAGTGGCTTCTCTGTGCCATTCTTCAGTCATTCTTTCCTTACCCATCTCGCGGGGGATGTGCGGCAGGCGCATGAGCATGCATCCCTGCAGATTGACGTGCCGAGCAAGGAGCACATCCACAACCATGACATTCGCACCAAAGAGCGCCAGTTGGATGGGTCGCTGCGGTCTCGAGTCTGCGCCAGTATCAATGCTCGCGCCGCCATCGATGAGGGCAGGGCCACGGTGGGGCGAACGCTGGACTGACGATGCGTTGACGGCCGAGAGGCTGGAGGGTTCAGATGGTTCCTGGAAGGGGTCCGCTCCGACTTGATCGGCTCGTGCTCGTCCGATGCGACGCAGCGGGGGCGACAAGAATGGTCGACCGTCGGCCGGAACATGACAGACTATCGGTGGCCGGAGTTGCGGCGGCAGGGAGGGCATGCGTGGCGGTCGAAGAGTGTGCGATGAATGGGCAGGGGCGGGGCAGAAAAACGGAGGGCGCTGAGCATGATAAGCTGCATGATCAATGGCTGAGCCGCCAGGGACGTACTGTGGAAGGCTCAAGCTGCAACACAACACAACACAACACGTAAGACCAGAAAAAAACGAATGAGTGAACGTCAGATTGTTTTCTGCCCTCCATCGCGTCTGGAGTCGTCTTACTGATGCGGAGGCGTCACGTTCTGATTCGTCCATGACAGGTTCAGCGTCAACGGGCCTCTGGAGGGTGCGGGCGGTCCTCTGGCCGCATCGTGGCGGCCAAGCAGCGGCCTCCCGGATGGAAAGGGATACATCACTCACTCCATGCAGCTCTCTGGATGAGCTCCAGCACACCTGCATGGACCACGCACAAGCCGATGTATCAGAGTTGGTACTGAGCCAATTTGGGCTGGGCATTCACCTGAGAGGAGTGAATTATGACAGATAAGAGTGCTCTTCCTTCGACGCATGTCAAATTTTCAATAGAAACCTCCGAAGGACTACTTCTGCGAGCTTTGGGGGCGTCTCCGACACCCCCCCCCCCCCCC